CAAGTGCTCAATGGAGAACCAGTCCTGGATCACAAGGTCATTTTTTCAGGTGCTATACAAGCTATGAAGGCCTCAGTTTAAAATTATTCATTATATGATCATGGGCTATATGGGCTATTTTTGTTCTTTAAAGAAAAGCTGACACTTTCCCATAATTCTAATTCAACTCCTGAAATGCTGAAGCTTTCACACCTCCCCATCTTCACCATCAGGCAAAGACAAGGCGCCCAGAAGAGATGGGAGCCAAAAGGACTTACATGTCTCGTGGTGTTTGACTTCTGTCAGGGCTGGCTCCTTGCTGCTGTGCTTGAGGTTGCTGAGAAATGATGAGAGATGGTTTATGGTCATTAGAGGTCACCTTGTGGCGAGAGTCAAGAGGCTGAGAAATAGTACTGCAGTAATGAACAGACTTTTCTGCAATGTTTATGATCTCATTGCAAACTGCTTCCTGCGTGGTAGGCAGCATTGACATCCAAGAACACCCAAAGGACAGTCAACAAGGGGGAGGGAGGGGAAAATATAGACAAGAAGAGATGGGACATTCCAGATGCAGCACGTAAGTCCAGTTAAAAAAAAAAAAAAGAGTTGTAGATCCAGGTAAATATCCAGGTAGTGGAGTGCAGAAGGGATCCAGGTGTAAGCATGGAAAAATAGGCAAGATACAGAAGAATTTGGCATTTAGTTTGAAGATTTGTAACAAATACATATACATATATTTTTAAAAGCAGCAGCATAAGAGGTTGCAATTAGTTATGCAGTGGCATCGTTACAAATGCTATGAAGTCAGTTCAAGAATGCAAGGTGGGCCGTTCTGTTCATGCATTTTGCTTCATTTAACTTATACCCAGGGACTGGCAGCACCATTACCCCAACTTCTCATTGGCTTATGACAAGTTTTTCTAATTGCTAAATTCCCGTTTTCTGTTGCAAACAAAACAACATATGCAAACAGATAAACATGTACCTACTTCACAGCTAAAAATAATGCTGGCATTTTATCTCTAGTGAGGTGTTACTGTCTGGGTGAAGAGAGTCTAGGACTACACAACTGATTTAAACAGTGGCCTTACCACATAGCTCTTTTCAGACTCTGTGAGATCTGGTCCAGCTCTCAATGAATGGTGGGAAGGCTGTGTGATCACCAAGCAAATGATAAGGAAGACACTTTAGCAGATGTTATATTGGTCAGAATTGAAAAAAATCAAATGGAACGCAGACAACAAAAGAAAATTAACAACTCTTGTCCTTCCCACCCCAACACCACGCTTCTTGGACAGCAAGGTCTTTCATTTACACAAAAGACATTAAGGCTACAGTAATGTACGGCACTACAGCACAGACTGCTGCAAACAGAAAGGCGACAGCGAAACACAAGCTCAGAGCAGGGAATGAGAGGGGAAGGTTATGGACACAGCTACAACCAGAAGGGGTACACGGTGTCACACTGCATTCCTGTAGGGGGTTGAAACAAGGACAGTAGCACATACTTGAGAGCACCAAACTTTAACAGCCAAAAGTATGCTGAGAGGAATCTGCTGCTGTTTTTAGAGATGTCCTCAATGACTTTGACACTGGAGACAACAGTAACTTGCTTGCTTCTTGAAAAAGATGAGCTCAGGTCCTCGGAAGGCACAATTCTATGTAGCCCCATCAAAATCACTCTAGCTTGTACCAAGGAGGGATCTGAGCTGCTCTGTTAATTCCCATAGGGAGGAAGAGCTTCAGGTCAGAGGAGGCCCTGACTGGAAAACCCTGCTCCAATCACCACCACCTACGAAGCTTCTGGATTCTGCTCTGCCTCTCTCTCCAGTCACAACTTTTCACAGAGATTCGCGTGTCCCAGGGCACAGTAAGGAAAATCAGGAGTTTAGGGTTGAAGGGTTTAGGGGGAAGGTCACTGAGAAAGTCACACAGGTATCCAGAGCCTGATTTTGCATGCTTTTTGCATATTCAAACACCTACTGAAAGCAAAGGGCACACTGTGAGTAAATGAGGTGTCTGAACTAGTGTAGTTATTTGTACTACTCGCAGGCCTGCTTGGCAAAGTGGATTGGGTAAGATAGAGAGCACTGCCATCCTCTGTGATCATTCAACACAATTTTCAACCCAAATTCCAAAGGTCTCAATTTTTATGCTTTCCCTCTTCCTCTTTATTCACTTCAACAATGCTCTTCAGTAAAAGGGTTGATTTCTCACGGCATCGCAAGACAGGGCAGAAGCAGAGGATAAAGAGGTTTGGGATACCTTCAGCCCAAGCATGCTCAAAGAGTTTGGAGAAGCACAAGGTAATGAGCTCATCCCTGTCTAATTCCCGTTCTCAGAGCTCCTCTGAACCACGTCTTGGACCTCTGGAGCTGTGCCCATCACTGTATCAAAGCAAACCATCTCTTTTCTCAAGGACTGTGACCCACTCAAGGCCAGCCCAACCCCACAGCAGCTCCTTTGTGGTCAGCTGTACTGTCTGGGGCTGGAATCTGGGATCACTGCCCTAAGAAACAATGCTCTGTTACCATGTATATTTCTATAGAGAGACAACTGAATGTAAGTTGGATGGGCTAATTGCAGTGGAATTCACATTCAAAGCATTTACTGCGCAGCCTGAAATTGTCACGGGATTTCTGGAAGTAATTCCTGCCTGTCTATCAGCAGCTCTGAAAGGCAAATGGAATAATTAGAAATTTAAAATTAATATTGCGCAGACCAACTGGATATAGTGCATCAAATCTGATGAGACAGAGCTAACTCAGGTGGTCAATTAGCTGGGCAAACCAATTTCCAGGCTGAGGTAAGAGGCAGCTTAAGATTTTTTTTTTTTTTTAATTCAAGAAAGTGCTTCTCTGCTCCATATTAATAAATTGACTGCTGAAATTGCTCCATGAGCACCTAAGACCATGCGGTCCATTTCTCATTGATTACTTGTGACCTCCCTGACCATCTTTTCCTCCAAAAAGCATTAATAACTATGAATTAGATTAGTTATTTGAAAGCTAAAAACTTGCCACTACCTCTGAATGCTCCGTGGTGCAGGCTTGAATGTGTAATGCCAGGAGGTGCAGCCTACCAGCATCAGAAACTTGGCCACATTCCCTTTTCTGGGAAGATCCTATGGGGACCTCCATGAGACACACAACTAAGTGGATCCCGCTGGCCTCTGCTTTGGAGATCCAGGTAGCTCCTATCATAGCAGTAGGTGTCTCAGCACAAACTCCCAGGGCTACAGCAGAGCCCTACATTGATACATTGAAGTGATGAAACACTCTTAAGTCAGCAACTGTGCAGCATTAGCCAAACAGGATGAAAAACTGATCAGATCCTATAATTATAGGCTGCAAATGTACCACTCCACTGCTTCAAACAAGTGACCTGATAGCATGGCCTAGATGACTTTTTTGTTTTTTAAAAAAAAATGACCAGCCAACCTACATTATTATTGCAGGGAGAGAAGAGAATAAAGAAGAAAAGAAGTGTTATAGGTCCAAGTACTCTTCAAACTGGTTCAGAAAGCCCATGTACTACCTACAGTGGTGGCTTCATGTTCCAGAGGTAGATGAGGAATCAGGGAGTGTGGGGCATAGCTCCAAAGCATAAAACAGAGGTTCCCTCAAAACACTAAGCCAGCCCTGCTGCTGCTGGAGGTAAACTGAGGGACCTAAAAGTGACAGGTGTTCACAGCCTGTGAGGACAACTCAACCCCTACCACTTCAGGCACACTATAGTCTTTGCTAAGACTATATGAATAAACTTAAGCAGGTGCCCATGTGTCTACATCTCCATGTCTACAGATAGCACAAATATGTGGCACAGTCAGTCCTGAAGCCCAGCTGGCCACTGCTTGCACCTCATATGCAGTTTGAGAATGAATCTAAAGAGTACTGCGGGTTTGTAAGAATACCAGAAAGGGTTCTACATTTAGAGCTTACAAAATTCTAAGGCAGATTTTTAACTGTTAGGAGGAAAGATGCTGGGCCTACTCAATAGTGCTCTCCCTCTTCCTAGCGCAGTCAAGCGGCATCAGTGTGTCTGTTCATTGCAGCTCGTGTTCACATGTCTTCTTCCATCCTTTTCTGGTGGGAGTTAAAGGACTACATAAGCAAAGAGAAAGCTAAGCAGAACAGACTAACAGACAGACAAGACAGAGAGACAGACAAATTGGTATCCCCTCATAGAAGGGCACACACCCGCAGAGATGCCCTCACATGTGAATGGAGAACCATGAGCAGGGAGGACTCCCCAGCCTAGCTGAAAAGAAAAAGCAAAACCTCTGCACACACCAAGCCCCAGCTCTAGTGAAAGTGAGGGGAAAGCTGGCCAAAGAGCTCTCACAAAGAACACTGAAAAGGCTGCAGTGTGGAGCAGTCTGACCTAAAGGCTGCCTAACTCAATGGAAAGACTCCCCAGCCCATGGATGATAAGATGAAGGCTGTATCTACACCAGAAAAACGCATCTTCCATGGGGAGCAGGTACCAATGCCTGCTGCAGGCTTTACAGCCCTGGTTCGGACAATAAACATGCTGGGCAGAAATGCTACCACGTTGATCCTGTGGAGCAGCAGAAAACCACTGCAGGGCAGGATAAAAGCTTACCTTGGAGATGGTGCTAAGTAATGAACATGCTAAGTAAGTGGAGAACATAGGGTCTGAGCATTCTCCTCATATGCTCTCCTCTCTACCAACACAAAGTGGGTGAAATTACTCACCACTCTGCCTGAGTGGTTTTGTACAAGTGGAGAGGAGCTCTCCACTGACATCCCTCACACTGATGGGCCATGCAGGGACCCTCCTCCAGCCACTCGTGCCTTCCCCATCCCATGGCCACAGTCCTGCCCTGGGGCCAAAGCTGCTGCACTGCTCACACACTCGCCAGCACCACTGGTGACTGTCACTGTGCTAACAGGACCTCAGAGTAAAACAGGAATTAAACCAGAAATTTTCTGAGGGTGCCCTGAAACAAATGAATTGGATAGATTACATTACTGCTTAATATCATGTTTACTGGAATACTGAAATAAACTCTCTGTAAGTTATACTTGAAATATCTTTCACATGCTGTGGGGTTGTTCATTTTTCTTTTTAGTTTTGACTGTGAAACTAAACAAAAGGGAATAATTTCAGAATAGCTAAAAGAGCCATGGTACTTAATATTATTACTTAATGGAACAGGCAAGAACAGAGTCCATCTGTACCAAAGAGGTCTTAAACCTGCAAAAAACCCTGGGTCAGAATCTAATAACTGGGGAGGTTCTCTATGATAAGAAAAAAAACCCTAAAATTAAAAATGACAAAATACATCAAACACCATGGATGGACAGTAATGGAAACAAACCCCAAATGTCTACTAAGTCCTTTTCTCATTTCTTGAAAATCAATGAAAAGATGACAGATTTTTGAGAAGGCCTCCAGGGTATCACCTGCAGTTCTGCTGCAGCCATCAGCCTCTGTATGGGCCACACAGATAATGAGAAGTTATTTGCACATATAAAGACCACTCTTGCTCCCTAAATAACTGTAGACCCAGAGCTGTAAAGGAGGTTAAGACTACTGATAATGTCTCACACAGTTTTAACTTGACACTGACAATGTTCTGATTGTCAAGGCATATAAAAGATGGACTTTTGGCTTGACTTCAACTCCAAAGAAAGGCCACAGAGTTCTATTACGACCAGATGCAACACCCAAAATAGAACTGTATGCTAGTCAGTACTCAGGAGAAACATCTTTCCCAAAGGCTCTCTGCTTCTCCTCTTTTGAATCACATACAACCAATACAAGTACCAGCAGGACCAAGCAGATCAGAGGTCAGGAGAAAGGCCAACACAGAAAACTTCTATGGATTTTTATCGTGAAACAGAATATGTACCCTACTGGATTCAGATATTGAAACTAAAAGGGAAGCAGGAGGTGGTCGTTCACTAAAAAGCTGTGCAAGCTCACAATCAGAGGGAAATGAGGTAAGTAAAGGCAACAGGAAGATTTCAGAGTTAAAGCTGTTTCTGACTCTCATGAACTGGTCAAGAAAATAAGTAACGTTGGCAACTACTTGACACACGTAACCTGCATGAGCAGCCTGGCTGGTTCACTGATCAAGCCAAAGACTGTTTCCCCACTACCTGCATTACACACACAGTCCAGTTTTTGTCAGTTGTGAGCTTTCTGTTTCAAATATTGCCATCTTGTGGAAGCTGCCTGGAAGGACTGACGAGACACCGGCAGCTGCAAGCACTGCTCATTCCCAAACCCTGGACATCCCAGCCACACCGTGCCGAGGGTGATCTCAGGTGATTAAACAAAACCTGGACCAAAGTATCTCATGCTACATAACAAGGCCACCGATACTGCCTTATAATGCAATTGTACTGTAGGCACTCAAGGTCAGAACTAAATAAAACCTGGGTTAATCCTTTGGAGGAACAGAAAACCAGATACTGGTACAAAGTGGTGGAAACCCAGACTTGAGCTATGTGGATTTGCACCAGCCAAAGATTTTGCCCATACCTGCGCTTCTGCACAGCCCAGAAGTAATTTAAAATTATTTTAAAAAAATAAAATTCTGAATTAAATGACAGGAGAAATATCTCACCTGTGGAATCAATGAATGGCTCAACAAGCATATGAAAAAAACAATGACATGGCATGGAAACAACTCTGGGTAATGGAAGAGTAATCAGCAAAGATGATTACCTGTGACTTATTGACTCTGCGTGTGAGTCGGGGAGGTGGCTGTGTTGTGACAGTAGAGGAAGAGAGGGCAGAGGAAGAGAGAGGAGCAGATGAAGAGAATGCTTTTGAGTCTGCAGTCTTTCGAAGAAAAGAAAAGTTGGTCAGCTTGGCACACACTCTCTTATCACAATCACTGCTAGTGATAAGAGCATCTACTCTCCAGCAAATACCACGCACACACAGCAAACATAACTCCATGCAAGGGCAAGTGCAGTGTCCAGTTAGTTTGTCTGAGCTGACCACTTCATTCTGTTTTACACATGCAGGTTATGCCTGTAAAAATGCTACTAAAAATATATCCAGATGGTAAACAGCATGGTCTTTACACAGGTTTCAATACACTTCTGGTTATGATTCAAGCAGAAGTCAAACAATTTGTCATAAGATTTCCCAGTGTGAAATAGGTAATCTTAGAAACCCTAGATCCTCATTATTTAATGTTGGCTAAATAGGGTATGTCTTGGAGGCTATCGCAGTGCATCCAAGACAGTATTTATCATGCTATGATTTTGAGCTCTTCAAAATCCCACTCTTATACAAGGTAGCATGGGGGTGCTGTAATGTATTTGGGCTGGGCTGTAGCCCACAGTGGACCCCAAGTCAACTGAGCACTGCAGAGTAAGACAGATCCCCTATACCAAGACTGGGGCCAGACTTTATTTTGCAGAAGCTACTTGAGGGCTCCCCTATGTCCCCTCTCCTCTCATTGTAACATACAGCCATCTATAACTAAAAACTCTCGGGGAAAAGAATCGCTAGGTCTAATTCTCATTTGTGGCTAGACCCTTTCACATCATTTTGGAAATGTAAAGGTAATAAATTCCACTCAATGCACATATAATAATCAAGCCTCCCTGACTTAATAATGCACATCCCAGACTAAGGTTCACTAAACCATAGGCTCCAGGATAAACAGGGAACAGCTTTTGTGATTCTAGGAGCCAGGCTGATATTTACAAGGCTTTTCAGTCCTTGGCTTTAGGAGAAACAAATAAATCCTATAACCAAAGATGATCCATTGCACACTGGAAAATCTCTGAATAGCAAGGAATTGCCTGTATTCTACACTATGAGGTATGTGGGCACAAGGCCTGTGTGATACTTTCATCTATTACACTACCAGGGACACATTAGATATGACCAACTGAGTCAGTCCTGTGTTATTATCTGTTCTAATCTATCTATCTATTATCCATCTATTATCATTTTCACTACACTGCTCCTGAGTCCTCTTCTAAGACTTTTTCATCTGCTATCCAGTGAATGCCACTGGTGATCCCTGAAAGAATGTCTTAGGATCAACAAATTGACATGTGGCAGCCTCTTGCTCTCTCTGGCCAGCAAAGCAGCACAAACCTCCACACACCAGTTAAAATCAGCGACTCAGAGCAGCGCACACACATGCAGGAGAAGTACCTTCTTTTCCCAGCTTTGAAATTTTCCCAGATCACCTTTCCTCACGCTTCTTTTCTCTGTTTTACCTCCCTGCACAATAGCCATTAGCTCCTGACACAACTGGTTGTCCTCAGAGGAACCCACAGGTCTCTTTTCTGGGCTCACACGCATGTCTAGTTGGGATGGTTTCAGGCAGCTCTCAACAGAGATCTTGGGAACAGTGTGAGTCCCCTGCTCAGGGTTGCTGCTGCCCTCTCTAGTCTTTTGGAGCCAGGCTTGGCTGCCAGGGGTGTCACGCTGCTCTGCGAGGATGCTGTCAGGGCTCTCCACTGCCCAGCGAGGGGAGCTGGAGAAGCTCACACTGGGAGAAGGGGAGGCGACAAACTTCTCTTCGTTTTGTGGAGTGGCCTGATAGAAACTGTGAGCGGAGGACTGAGGTCTGGATGAGTAAGAGGGCAATGGGGATTTAATGGACCTGGGAGTCGAGGAGCCAGAGAGATGAGAATGGTGGAGGCTGACCGGGGGAGAAGGGCTGGCTGCAGCAGAAGGCGAGAGAGAGTCAGTGTGAGAGAGAGAGGCTTCAGGCAGAGGAGGCAATGGAGGAGTTATGGCAGGAGTGGTGCTAGGAGACACTCCCACGGTCAGAGCAATCCACTCGGATGTGACCGCCTGCACCTCTGGAGATAAGGCGCGGCGCGCGAAAGGCAAAGGCGGAGGAGTTGGTGTATGGAGCAGCTCAGAGCTGGGAGACTTGAAGGAGACAAAAGCAGGAGAGAAAAAAGAAAGAAATGAACAGAAAAATAATAAAGGAAAATACAAAACGACTGAGCAAAAGTAAAAGGAGAGCAAGCGAGTGTGGAGAGGAGCAGATCTGTGACCAAGCATGGTGCATAGGTTTTCCATGGACAGGTGCACTGTGTTGGAGAATGTGCTGTCCACAGTAGCTCCAACCACAGAGTCCAGTCAGTATCTGTGCTGCTAACACCCTTCTCCAGCTTTTGCCATGATCTCAGACATAAAACATCTTGTGGAAAACCTTAGACTTCACTTCCTATGCTGTAAGTCCCTCAGGTAGCAGTTGAAGCCACCATCCATGGTGGCAGCATGCAGCATTTGACTGGCCTGGCAGTAATAGCTGGGGCCTCAGCAACTCACACCATGGACCTAGTCAGAATTCACTGCTGCAACGAATTTTGACTTTATCCAACTCTAGCACGAGCAATGCCTACTCTTCAGGAAGCTTGCATTGCTGAAGCTGTGGAGGAGAAAGGGATCAAAACAGCCAGCTGTGGCTATTTGGTCTTCAGGTGATTAAAGTAGGCCCTGTGTTTATAAAGGCAGAGCACACAACTGAGTTCTGCCCTTAGCTATTACCACCAGCAATATCAGTGAGATCAGTCACATTAGCACTGATCAGAGCATTTCTCAGTCCTTTGCCAAGTTAGGCAAAAAAGTAAGGAAGAAAATTGATTTACTAGGGGAGGAATAAAAGGAATAGCAAAGGAAACAAAAAAAGGGTGGATACGATCTTTTCCATCAAAGGGAGAAATTTGCAGAGAGCTGTGGCAGACAGGCCACAGCTATGGAGAGACTGCCAAGCTCAAACAGAAAAGCTCAGCTGAGGTACAGTTTGACAAGGCACCCCAAACAAGCAAGAAGTCTTTTCTCTTTACACCGTGGCTAAGAATAAAAACACTCCTTTTAGGGAAGATCCAGACAGACACTAGGCATGAGCCATGGCAATCTTTCCCGTCTGTCTGGTACCATATGTCCCTTTTTCCTGATCCCAATTCTCCACTTTTGTTCCTTGCAGTCTTGACCTCAGAACAACCTTGCTTCAGTCCTGTGGGTGACACACGGGTGCACCAGAACCTCATGGCTGCAACCCAGACACATACACTGACCTTCAAGCTTAAGTATTTGCAGGATGAAAGCAAAACCAAGGGATTTAGAGACTCACTGCCTCCCTGATATGATTTCCATTGCAAATATTCTGGGATCCCCAATTACCTACTGTCATTTTGATTTCTGGTTTGAACTGCAGTATGGTTTATAGTGAATCTTCATGGAAGATCCCAGACTGGCCTGCTCTCAAAACCTGAGTTAATTTAGCATTGATTTCAAATAATACAGACCACTCTCCTGACCCTGGTCTCCCAAAATCTTGGTTGTGAGCTGGAACATTAGGAGTAAGCATACAGCTTGATTCAAGTGTACTGGGATCAACATAATGACTCCTACAGACTATAGCAGTCTGTAACACCCTTTGAACAGTCATAACTAATAAATTAACTCATCACAGTGGAGATCCATAAAGTGTAAACATGTCTCCAGGAAGAGCTGGATCACCAATTCATTCCATCTCTGGCAGTGAAATTTACTCAGATGGCTGTAAACTGTAGCCCTTTCAACCTGGCCTGAATTCAAGCTACAGATCAAAGATGAAAAGCTGAGTCTCCAAATCCCTGAATGACCCATTCATTAACCTTTCTAGTAAATGAAACATCACCTTTTCCTGCAGTAGCAGCATATTGCAGGGAGCACATGGCTTTTACTGCACAAAACACTAGTCTTAGCTACAGCTTTTTTCAGTCAATTGCTTCTTGCACAGCAATAGCAAAAACCCTGTTCTGCAAGGTGCTGTAACTGGCTGTATCTAGTCCAAATACCTGTGGTGAAGCCGTCATGCTGCGATTAGGGGAGAGGGACATTGGGGGGTCAGGATAGTCGATGGCATTCTTGACCACTGGCCGTTTGAGCACCTCCACGTAAGTGACAGGGAAGATGCCTTGGCGACTGGTGCCAGAGATTCTTCCTTCATACCAATTCTCATCCACTCGTCGAATCAACGTGATCCTTTCACCCTATGGGGTGAAAAAGCAGATTACATTTTCAATCTTGCTGCAACTGACTTACAACAGTCAGTGGCCCTCAGCCTCCCCTATTTCCCAGTTATGTGGTCCTAACTCTGACCTCTGGATAGGAAAGATTTTTTTTAGTTCAGAGGAGGAAGAAATGCAGATCTTCTGGTGCTGACTTGGACTGTCTGCAAACTCAGTTATGCTCACATTTTCAAGACCCTGGAGCTAAAAATCAGTTAAAAAAATGGAAACCAGCCATTTCAGACAGACCACAAGACTCTCAGTGGTATGAGGTGTACAGGGAGTATGCACAGGTCCACAGTTTAAACTAGGTCTCTCTATGCTCTCTCTTATTTTGCTGACAAATGAAGTGACTTTCACATCCTTAATATAAACTGCAAGTCCTGCCTTCATGTATAATTAAAAGAGAAGACAGACAAGATCTAATATGAGCATCAAAACAGAAAGCTGGCTGAGATGGAAAAATGCTGCTACTTAATCTAAATATAGCTAGCTTTGCTCTGAACAGCTCATTCCTATCTCTTCACTCTGCATTCAGTACCACAGAAGCACACTTGCCTATGCACAATGATTTGGCTTGTAGTATGAAGGAAGGTGAATCCAGTTTCCTTCTTTTCTATGTTGCCATTCTCATGTGACTGTATGCATCTCCACTGGAGAGAATCAGACTGGAGATATGTTACCAAATATCCAATTTGTCTTGCAAAGCCAGGCTTTTAGCACCTGTGCTCCAAGTATCTTCTCAGCTAGCCCTAAGGCAGTGATTGGCACTTCTTGATTCAGCCTACCTGCAACACACTCACCACAAAGCACTACATAATGGCTATGGAATGAAAACATGGGTGATGAGAAGGAATCTTTCCTGAACATGCTGTTCATCTTATTGGAGCTTTCATTTGGAAACTGCAAGTTACTGGTGTTAAAAAACTTCAGCATTTGCCTGGATTCAATTCATCAGCACAAGAAAAGTCCTACCTTTCTGAAGGACATTTCCACTTGTGTATCTCCATTGAAGTTGAACTTAGCAACAGCATCTCCATATTCCAATACTTGCACTGGTGATGGCTTTTTGGGCTGAGCTTTCTCAGCTGGTGGGAGGAGCTAGAATGAACAAACAGAATCAAATGAGTCACATACAGAAAGCCCATAAACTGGACACTGGCAGAAAGGGAGCGGGCAAAGAGAACACCTGCAAGGAAAGCAGCTACCTCTATGTATGACCGTGGGAAGATGCCAACTCTGCCATGGTGTTCGCCTTCATACCAGTTCTGGTCAATCTGCTTGTAAATGTAAACAATATCTCCTTTCTGCAGAGGAAGTTCCCTGTTAACAACACAAGCGCTCTGTCAGAACTTTACTGAACAACAGATGCGTTTTCTGTCCTGCAGTCTCTAGGTACCAAGGCCTGCATCAGCCCTCTTGATACAAATCATGCTCCACCCAAAGTGAAAGCCTCATGTTGAGAACCATCCTGTTCATATCATGATCTGCAGGCACTCTCTTGGTCTTTGGGCATCCTGTCAAAAAAGCTGCCTATGAAGGCCCTACTAAACACATACCCTCCAGCAGCAACAGGGTCAAGCTCAAGCAAAAGATGCCACTGTCTGCTTTCCATGTTGGGTATGGTGAGCAGTGCTCAGTTCCTGTTTTGAAACAGGTCATGTCACAGGTGCCTTCCAAAGAGACACATGATTTTAACAGAAGCTAGTTTGTTGATTAGATATAACATATAACAAAACATTCCCAGGACATTTGCACCTGAGAAGAAAAGCACTACATCTTTCACTGAACTCTGTTCTTCATTCTTCCTTCCCTAGCAATGTTAAAATGAGAGCTTCTTCAAGCTCATGCAGATGGAAGGGCCTTTTCCAAGCCTCTTCACAGCAGTGTTCCCCAAAAAGAAGGAGTAGTGCTGTGTGATTCACCTGAGGGACCACAACAGGGCTTAGAGGTACAACAATGCCACCAGAAACATCCACTGGTGTATCTACAAGATGCCAGGGGAGCAGTGACCACTCTATTATAAGTCCTGAATCGGGAAAATCTGATGCTTAAAGCTTAAGTGCTTAAAGCTAGGCATCTAAGTCCCTTGCTGACTTCGGGCTATGCTTAGCGAGTGAAAAAGATGCTGCTGTTCTGCACATCTATGTTCTTCTGACAATCTGCACGGCAGGCTTACGCAGTGAGCTACTGACTAACACAGTTCTTCCAGCTCCTAAATCAGAACGTAACCAGGGATGTCCTGCAGGGGAAACCCTTCAGTCTTCAGCACAAGGGCAGTGACAGAGCTGCTGCCAGGTCTCACCCGGCCATCCTGTTTACAAGGTGTGGAGGAGGAGGAACATCAGCCAGAGCGCTCTCCCATGGCTCCCCCTCACTCAGAGAACTCACTTGTCCAGTAAAGAGTGTAGATTTTTAGTGCCCTAAAAATCACATGGGATACAGATGTGCTGAGAAAGAAGACATTTTCCTAAAGGTCCTTTAGAGGCTACAACCTGCAAGATTCGTATTATTTTTCCCTGCCTTACTATGGACACCTTTACTTTGAGCTACTGGAAAGAGACTCCCAAAACATGGTTCCAATTGCATGACACTTCATAAATGCTGCATCCTAGCTAAGAAAGCAGAGGAAGAACACTCAAGGCAGTAGTAAGAAGCTGTACTCACTTTAGCGTCTGCGCTTTAAAGTCAAACTTGGCTCTAGCAGGTCTCATCTAGAGATCAAAAAAATCAACACATTAAAATAATAATTAGGATTTCAATGCTTTTCTGAGGAAAAGCATCCAAACTCTTCTATAGCTAAAATTAGTCTGGGGAAGAAACTGAATGCAGGTATTCTGCTGCAAGCTTATGTGCAACCGATACTACAGTGCAAATATGCTGGATGGGTCTCTCCCACCAGGGCAGAAAGTGCCAACTTTTGGTATAACAGTAATTGAGAGCTCTACAGGAAACAGATTTAACAGCAGTAAACTTTTAAATGTGACAAACCCTGCTGAATGAAAGCTGCTCTAGTAACTACAGTTACTAGGGCTCCAGGACCAAATTTCTCTTGATATGGGAATGGAAAACCAAAATTTACCAGCTGGAAAAAAACCAGGATTTTATTTGATGTGGCTCTTATTGATTATTACCTGGCCCTGCTGAATCCTGCAATGTGACTCATGTATTATGTATAAATTGGTAGGAAAGAGACAAAGGTGAGGAGAAAATATGCATAAATTAAGTACGTGTCTAAAAAAATATCTTCAGTGGCAGTAAAGCAAATGAGGATGTTGACAGCAGGCCTAGGCTTTAAAGATTGATTTACATGGCTGATTTTCTAGAGGCCACAAAACATTCAGGCAATTTTAAAGTCACTTATGTAACAGAGCATAAAAGAAGAAGCAGTCACATTCATGTGGCACCAGAGTATTTGAAACTACATGAACGTCAGACAAGTGTACTTCATCCACATGGTGACCACCTCACCCACCACCGCAGTGAAGCGCCTCTGGAGAAACAGAGCCACTGTCAAGAGCCCCAGGAGCAATCCTAAGACAGGAAAAGGTATTTGGTCAGGACATCTGGACTGAGCATCCAGCCCTCAGGAAAAGTGCCTTGAGCTCATGGGAAAACCTTCTACCTCCTCCTTTGTCTCTTCCAGAAAAAACTTCCAGGTTTTACGCAGTGAAACATGCTGAGACTTTTTCAATTGTTTCTAAAGGACATTAAGCATCTTTTAAGAGGAGAAGAAACAATCTATTTCTAAAAAAAAAACAACTATGAGACAGTTGCATGGCCAGGATCAAGAAGACATGAAGTTTCTAAGCATAAGGCACAGACAAGGAGACAACGTAGCAATATGATGCAAAAGATGTAGAATGCCTTTGATTCACTAAAAGTAGCTGATATTTAAAGGCATGCATCACAGGTGTGCACCAGCAATTCTCAGCAGGCATGCTTTAACATATGCAGCTCGGTATAGAAATATCAATTAATTTTCCAGGCACAAGAGTCAAAGCAGATCTAAATGAAGCCAGAATGGGAAAGGGGAAGGTGGGAAAAAAAACAAACGACATTCTCTGAAGAGCTAATGTCGGCCTAAAGCACAACATTGTGAGAGGCAAATATTGCTTTGGGTCAAGCAGCAGACTGAGGTAACTAAAACAGACCTCTGACCCAGATTTCCTCTTTGCTGTATCGTCTATATTTAGGAGGTCCCCAAATCGCTCATTAGTGATAAACTGATGGTGCGTTGGAATAACCCCTGTGTGCCTTCTAGCTGCAATATCAGCTTCTTCTTGCTCACGTTTAAGCCGTCTCTGGTCCTCTAAAAGTTTCTGCCATAAAATTGCATAAAATGGGCAGTAAATCATCTAGTTAAAGGCATTCAAAAGCTGCCATAAATGAGACTTAAGTAAAAATATCTGAGGTCCCAGCAAATAGCTGGGATTTTACAGTTCAACATAAAATACCGATTCTACTAACTACACAATAAATTCTGCAAGCACAGAAGGTACATCACCATTATGGCATAGCTGAAATCCAGCTCACAGAGAGGATCTGATTCAAAGCTGATGGAAGTCAACAAGGAGTTTTGGTCCAAATCCCCTTCAACCAACAAGGAGCTTCTCCCATTGACTCTCTCACTGACTTCCAAGAGACCTGAATCAGCTCCACAAGTAACTTCTGAGACACCAAACTCCCCTGAGCTTTGCAAGGAGCTTGGAGAGTGCCTAACCATCTTCAGGTACCAGGTTCTCTCCCACATTTCCTTTGGGCTTATGTAATAAACTTTGTAAAATAAATAATTATTTTAGACTTCTGAAGTCTCTGGCACACTAAAGAAAATGTGCATTCTTGAGTACCTGGGCAGAAGGATTCTTCCACCTTTTGGGACTGACTGTAGGCTGAAGAGTTCAGCTCTGTGCTAACTCATTTGAAGCCAGCAGGTCTTAGTGAATTCAGAGTTTTGCTCTTACACAGGTTTCTGTGCTGGATTTTGGAAGTGGGAATATTACTAACGGTTTCATGGGAGAAGACAGCAAAAATGTATTTTTCACACAGGATTTAAGAGCACGTTTTACCATATTTCAAAGCACACATAAACAACATTTGAACTCAGAAAGTTAAGACTAAAAATGCAATTATTTTTTTTCTCCCCTCCAGGCAGTAAAAATTAATTCCAGCTTCCTGGAAAGCAGTCAATTTATAACTTCTTTAACTCAACTTGAATACAGTCAGTGCTAAAAAGTCTACATGGCTTTCCTATTATTTCAGCCTGTCCCAGTGTTGCCCAGCCATTTTGAAAAGGTCAGCTACATTCTGTCACCAACTTGAGACACCACAAAGAATTCTAGTTTGTACTACGAGGAAACTTTACGCCTTCTGATAGCTTAAAATATCTTACATTTGCTGTTCAAAACCTGAGGACTCCCACACGAAAAATACTGTTCTCAGTTTCATTAATACAGACTTAAGTAGCTTGCTTGGAGACCACTGAAACCCTAACTTACTCACAGAACCACCATTTAATCTTTATCTGTGAGTAGTGAGGTGTTGTACCACACCTCACATACATCTCCAGCCTTTTTACATTCTTTAAATCCCCTATATATAATTTTGTGCAATTGAAAAGAACTATCAGGTTCATTTTAAACAAAAACTAAACTACTGGACTACGTATTATACGTTAAATCAGTGGCAGGCATAGTATTACATTTAAAACATACTCCTTCAAGCTTTGTGATCTAACTTCCAATATACATAGCCATGAACATACAAGCTGTCCTTATATAAGGCTGAATGCCATGTTTCTTATATGTGGAACTGCTACAGCTGTTATTAGACCATAAAGGAGGGCATTACCTCTTTATCATCGTGCCGTCTGCGGATAATTTCTTCTGGAGTTTCCATGTAATCAACTGGTGCAAAATGCCTTGGTGATTCTGAATCTACTTCAAAACAACATAAGGAAGTTAAAATACAGACGGATTTATCTAGCAGAACCAGAAAGGAAAAAAAGAGATATTTTTAAACAATTTGTTTCTATTATGACAGCAGGGATTCTCAATTGCCATTGACCAAATTGCCAATCAGATGTTGATAATTTGTACATTTTCATTTTTTTCCCTTTTGGGCTGTACTTGTGAACAAAGATCCAAAAACAGGTAGAAGATAATGGTACAGGAAAGTATATAGACATAGAAGGACTTTGTGAAGAAAAGATTTGCTGCCATCAAAGTATGATTTGGCATTTTACTGTTGAGAAAAATTCAATACGCGCACACACACACACACACACACGCACGCACACACAACTAGACCTTGAGAAACTGCTCCTTAAAGCAAATCATCTGGGTTTGTTTTATATTCCCATATGTGTAAATGATATAGGACTAGAAACATCTCATGTTGAGATTCTTGCATCCCTGGAGTTGCTTGAGAGGCAAACTGAACTCGATGTGATTAGCAAGGCAGTGGAAATCGTTTCTCAGAAGTGCAGCTGTTAACAAGTCCTGAACAAAAATGCTCACCAAGACATGCGAAGGACGTTAGACACACTAGGGGAAAAAACAGAGAGAGTCAGGGGATGCAAAGGCGGAGAGAAAAAATGCAAGGGTTGTGGAAGAAAAGGGGAGGGGTAAGGAAGAAAAGAGACAGATGAAGGGACACTGGTAAAGAACACAAAAAGCCACCTCCTGGGTACGTCCCAAGTTCACTGTGCGGGTTGTTGTTTGTGTCCAGGCCATGACAGAGGGCGTACGGAACAGGGTTCACATTGTTTAAGGAGTCAGGAGTGCCAGCCCGGCCCATGAAGCTATCTCGGCTAGATCCCACGCTGGGGAAGTAGCTAAGCCTCTCCAGAATGTCATAGGAAGACAGGCGCCTGGGGGCTAGAGGCCTGCTTCTGGAGCATGGTTGGTGCTGGGAGTGGTGACTCTTGTCTCCTACGCTCCCCTGCAGCTGCATAGGATCATCTGGGTTCTCAGGGCTGGGCACTGCCAGGCTTCCCAGGCAGTCTGGGGGTGGAGTCCTGCAGGATTTGTGTTGGAAGGGCTTTTTCAATCGGAAGGGGAGCGGGCTCATTAGGTAGACGTTTCTGGGGAGCACGTGTCTGTCCCCATAGATATCCCCTTTGGAATGAGTGTTCCTGGAGGCCTGCTGCTGCTCGTGCCTTCGGATGGTAGTGAACCTGGTGTAGGAAGCTGGGCACGCGCCTTTGCATCTGTTGACTTTATGCTTCTGAGGCCCATTAAAGTTGCTGCTGCTGCTGCCACTGTCATTGGATGCGTTTGAGAGAAGATCTATCTCATCTGTACAAGCTGAAAGTGTGTCCATAGGGATGGCATCACTGACATCTGAAGCTGTGTCCTCCACATTGCTGCAGGAGTGGGAGGATTTATCTGCCAAACTGGCAGCATCCTTCTCTTCTTGGTGTGCTTTTGACAAATCCAAAAGAATCTCTGCAGAGTAGGCAGAACTCAGACAAGCTTTAGACTGGAGAGAAGTGGTGAATTTGTTTTGTCCAATGGAAAAGTCAAGTGAGGGCATTGATCGGGATCTCTCAATCAGCTGCTCAAAGGCACTGATACGGGACGAAACTGTGTGTTTGGGGATCTGCTCTGAATCCTCTCGACTAAGGCTGTGCTCCATCCTGTCCTTCGCTTCATTCTCAAACTGAGATGCAATATCCCTCACACTGCAGGAGGAGACTGTGCCCAGATGGATCCTGGACCGGTTGATCTGGTGCATGTCTTTGTACAGCATTGTAAACTCCATTCCGCTCTTC